CAAAAAACTCAATTGAATTTACTTACAGTGACTTTCCTTGCCATTTAAAGGTGAATAGAGATAAACTTGTCTTGATTAATCGTCGATGGAAGTGTAAAAAGGGCAAAAAAATTGACGATTATCGCTAATTCGTTCACGAAAATAGATCAACTCGCCGGATTCCGCCCACTGTGGCGGTCCGGATGAGAAAATTCCGCCCGCTCCCGGAACCAATCAGATTGCAGGATTTGTTGAATTCCGCCCGCTCACGAGCTGAGAAAAAGATAAATTAATGTATGTATATAAAAAAAAACATGCATAAAAGGGAGAAAATTTAAAATAACTATCATAGAACCCATGGTAGTCCCTCAAGCGTGACTAGTCCACACGTCCTGGAATACACACACCTTTCGTTGTCTGGTGCTTCAAGCCTTGCGGAAGGCGTATTTCTTAAATGGGTGGACCAAGTGGGCATAGTTTGTAGATCTTTTCTCTTCTAGCAGTTCTGGATTTCAAGGTCGTTCTCTTCAAAACTGCCCTTGTTCTTCTTAGTGGAACACCCGACTACTACTTCAGAAAACTGGCACTTTTGATACAGTCCCTCGTGTCTCCGGGGAGCAAGTCTTCAAAGCAGCCGTTTCTCTCAAGTTTTGACTGCAGGTTGTCGCGGAAAACCACCCTAGTCTCTTTAAGGAGCCATCATTTCTTGGCTTGAGTTTAAAATGTAAGTTAAGTTTGCAGCGAACAAGGCGATCAGTGGTATATCATTCTGCCCTTGGTATCGTATGTTTATGAAGAACATTCACTGGTCACCACGGCACGTTATAACATTGTCAACTGGCTGCCAGTGTCTTGACCAGAAAATGTATCCAGGTGGTCTTCAGACTGACTGATGTCGGTAATGGCAAGCTGCTCTGCGCAGAATACGCATTGCCAGGCTTTGGAGTATTTACCTACTCTGGCTTTGAAGTCGCCTCGAATAATGAGATTGTCGTTTGCTGGGACGTTCTACTGAAGCTTCAGATCGGAGTAAACTCTTTAATTATCTAAACGATCTTCCGGGAGAGTAGGGACGTATACACTAAAGAGCGTGGGGTGTTGATGGCCTCGTAGTTGGAGACGCATAGAGATCAGGAAATATGTTAAAAATAAACCCATTTTGTGAAAACCACGGGAAGTTGCTTCATGTATTCAAATGATGCGTACTTTGAAAATTGCCCAAGATCATCTTGGCTCATCTTCTCCAGTTCAAGAACTACTTTCTATTGTAATTTAATCTTTCTTTCGTTGCTTAGATCTATGGACTTATTACAACGTGAAAAAATCTCTTTTTGATGGCAATCATTTAAATGCACTGCCAAATATAACAGTGGCCCTAATAAACATTTTGGACTGATCAGCACTTTTAGCCTTGTCCATAATATTCGCTTTGATTTTAAAAGTTAACTAATTTCTATTTACTAGGCTAAAAGAGTCCAAAACTAAAAAACAATTGAAAAAACTTTTCTAATTGCTGGATACCATAACAGTGAACAGTTTCTTGAATAATTAGCCTGTAAACGATGCTTAAATTCCCAGTTTCCTCTTTGAAGAACGCAAGAAAGTTTTTATTACGCCCCCTTACTGTAAAAAGAACGAAAAACTTAGTAAAACCTTCATTTCCAAACTAAACAATTTCACGAATTCCAAGTACATTTCCATTATCCTGGGGCAAAGAAAAAAAATCAAAAACCTTTTCAACCTTAAAGTAAAAGACAATCACAGATCACACGAAGCCTACAAAGGAGACTGTTCTTGCTGTGGCAGCTACATTGGTGAGGCCAAGAGAAATGTGCAAGTGCGCTTTGATGAACATACTAACAATAATAAAGTGTATTCTCGTTTGTCTCACGATGTAGTCACTTGAGATGTAGATC